TGGTGCAGTGGTTTTCTGTGTCTTTCTCTCAAGCTCTTTCATAACCAGAAGCTGTGCCATCTTGTTGTCCTGTCTCATGATAACCTGCTTGTACTTCAGGAAACTTATCTGCTGACTCGGCGCTGCCTCTGCAGTACCCGTTACACTGGCACTAAAAGCGGTGGTTCAGTGGTTGAACCAGGTTGTCGAAGGGCCAGCTTTGGATTCGCCCCACCATTTGCATCCCCATGTCCGCTTCTTCCATGCTGCTGCAAGACAATCATAAAGTTGTTTCACCTTTGTACAGATGGTGTTAGTATCTAAAGTGATACTTTTGTTCTGCAATCATTAATCCACATGACCAATGCAGCTACCATCAATCATGCTGTAAAGGCATCCAACATCCACGGCCATCTTTAAGTTTATCCAAAAATGCCACTTTTTATTTAATCGTCAGCATCTTCCTCTGGCGTTTCAGTTCGCCACCAGAAACTTTTGAATGCACAGAATGTTTAGGAGTCATAAGAAGTCCAGTTGAAAAAGAGCACAGGTAAAGAGACTGTCTCCTACGTTAACTAAGTCAATCACCGGCCAAGTTATACAGAGCTAACAGTTACTGAGCCAATCAGCTTCCAGGTTACTAAGCACAATGCTCTGTTTCTTAAAGAGACATGTCCCAACATCTAGGGATGGGACCGATCAGATCCAGTATCGGTATTGGCCTCCGATACCAGCAAAATTTACATATCGGATTTTCTGATCCAACTGCCGATATTTCCGATCCATGATGCACATTGGCTTCAAACTACGAAATGGATTTCCTGAAAGGAGGCGTGTCTCATGAACCCAGAGTAATAAGACCCGCCCCACATTCAGGAAATCCATTTCATAGTTTGCGCCTTGCAACCAGCTAAAACGTGAGTAACATCATTTACACTTTCTTGCGAATCTCACGTTTGTAAAGTTGAATTTTCTTTAAAAAAACCTTTTCTATGTGGCATGAATTAAATTTTAATTTTGAAGGCTGGTTGAGCAGTCATGACTTTACTTTGCAAAAATACTGTTCGGCAGAAAACAGCGCCCAGAGGCACTACAGTTACAGCAGAGCATTGATTTGAGGGAAAAGTAGTCCGTCTGAGTGGTGATTACAGAACAGTGGAGGCTGAAGGAAAGAAAACTACTGGTACAAAATGGCAGCACCTGTCTGAATTTTTTTTTGTCATTAACTTTTTCACAACCATGAGCACAGTGATATTACATGTACATATGTACAGTCCACAATCGTGTCTTGTACAAATTATTTTTTCGTTGTTGTTCGATATTATGGACTGTACATCCACAAACCGCAAAGTAGCGAGGGACTACTGTACTACATACAAAACATCAAAAGCACTGTATGAAGCTAGAGAGAAAATAACAGTCTTAATTACTGTTTTTAGTTTTATTAGAAACCTAAAACTTGAAGACATACTGTACAATATAGGGACAGCAATCAAAGCTTTTTAATTTTTTTTTTACAAATTAAATTTATGTTTAAATGTTGATTAGTGTGTAAATTGTTTAATAACAAATTAAATGTTTTAGCGCTAAAACTACAGCACTTTACCAATTTATTCATTCAACCTTTATTTATACAGGTTAGTCTCATTGAACCTCGGGGACTAATTTACAAGACAGACCTGATTTTGACAAAGAATGATGACAACATTAGACAATCATAAAATAAAGCATATGAATTGGAAAAAATAAATGAAAGAAAATGATATTAAAAAACTAAACAAAAACATCTAAAGTGTAAAGCGATGTAAATACTAAAAACAGGAACATGTCTGCATTGGTCCTTGCCAGGAGTCCAACAGATTCTTAGGTCGTTTTCACACCAGATAGTCCGGTAGACTCGGTTCGGGACCAATATTCATGAGCTTTTGTTTACATTTGAGCTGGTGAGTTTGCATTCACACTGCACTGTGCAGTCGAGTCAACCTGTTGAACCAACCTGTTCCCCTGCTCGCCTGTGGGGGCGCTGCACCAAGAACTACTGAAAGAAACAACACAAAAACCTCTGAAGACATGTCTTCTTCTTCTTCTGTAAATAAAAATAAAAACGAAGTGGCATCAAGTTTTAGGAGTGATATTTTGTCATTTTTCAAAAATGGACTTAGCATGAGCAGAAGATGAGACAGAAGACCATGGAGAATATTGTTTTTCACACAAGGCAGCTGACGGCTCCATATAAGGTCAGAGAAATTAGTGTTTGTTTACCCTGCGGAGCGGGGCTTTGGTCTGTTTACATTCACACTGTACTCGAACCGCGCTGGAGTTCTCTTCTACCGGACAGAGACCTAGGTTTTAGCCCGGGCCAGAGTTCGCCTTTTTGTTCCGTGACAGAGTTCGATGGTGCGTTCACACCTCCCTAAACAAACCGGACTTTCTAGGAAAACGAGCTAGAGTTTGATTAAAGCGGACTAAACAGGGCTAGTGTGAATGCACCCTTAAAGCCACTTAGAGATGTCAAGGTCGAGAGCTTCAGATCTTTTTGCAAAATATTTCAGGAAACAGGAGTGGAGTAGGAGAAGGTCCTTTTGCCTAGTTCAGTCCTCACTGAGGGAACACTGCAGGTAATAATGTCCTGAGAGCGCACGCTGTAGCTGCACTCGTGCAGAGACATGTAGGAGGAGATGTATGAAGGCAACAGACCAAGAAGTGATTTAAAAGATGAAAATGTACCAGCGAGAGAGTCTGCGTGAAGTTAATGGTGACCAGTTAACCATTTATACTTTATACTTAAGGTTGTACAGTTGTACCTCAGTTGTCATAAAATGCTCAGTGCATGTTTAAGTGTAATATTATCATGTGGAAATAAGCTTGGGTCTAAAATTCACCAAGCCTGCACAAACTTTAAGCATTTTATCAATTTTTGACACCAAGTTAATTGGCACTGTCTGAGAAAGAATCTTGTACACCTTCAGATGCCTTATTACCTGCTCAACATGAGAGCGGGCGTGAGCAATGCGGCGTGTACGAGTGACCTCCTCACTGGTGAGCTGGCATCCTTTGTGTGTGACTGCTGGAGTGATTAGATTCACGCTACGCTCCTCCAGCAAGTCCCTAACTGTGAAACCATGGTCACCCATCACCTCATCTCCAGCACGTAAACAGTCCAGAAACCCTGAGTTCTGTATTATGTACCTGTCACTGCATTTGCTGCCATAAGCATCTGAAATAAACATAATAACTCCAGAGGGAGAAACAGCCACTAAATATTTCACAGTGTTGTTGCCATAATAGTTACTGTATGAGTCGCTTCTAGAGTCCAAGTTTTTGGCTTTCTGCAAAACTGTCTCTGTGCAGTCAATTACACAGGTTGTGTTTGAAAAGTGCTCTTTAAAAGCTTTTGGCAATGTTGCTTTGATAGTTTCACGAGGCAACCACATAATAAGATCCTTGGTGTGCTCAGACATTACATCTATCCACATTCGAACAACCCTGCAGACATGACCATGTGGTATTTTAAACCGCCGTGCTAAATCAGCCATGTCAAAGTTCTGTCTTAGTTTCATCAGAGTCATTAGGATTTGGTCCACAACAGGCATTGAAAACGAAATAGGAGCAAATTGTTGTAAATTGTATACAAGTGTGTGAAACTCAATGAGTGGAATCCCTGTATACAAAAGGGAGTCTGCATCACTCTGTAAAATACTGACTGAAACATGGTGTGGCAGTGCCGGGGATGGTGCACACCTTTTTGAATAGGTGTGTTCCTCCATCTTTGGGTCTGACCACAGTGTTTGGGCATCACAAGAAGACTCTGATGTTGAGCACAGCTCCTCGTTCTCATCCACCTCATCGGGCTCATCTGAAGGTAACAATAAAACACAATTATTAATGTAAGATACATTTGGGTTTTCCCCACAGCATTTATAACATTCACCGTCCCGTAAAGTTTACTCTGAGGAGGACCACAAACACCCATCCCTCGCATGCAACATCTCCAAAGCTGAAAACCTGGTACATTATCACAGCTACAATTTAAAATAGAGTATGAGTTGTAAAAAAACTGCTTCAGGGATTATTCCTAAACATGTCTCTCGTGAAAATACAATATTTTGATTGTACATAATAAAGGTACACAATTTAATTCCACCTCATGTACCACGTGATGCGAATGACAATAAAGAAAACCTTGACTTTTAGTTTTATGTTGCCATGTCAGTTTTAATTGCAGAGAAAATCGCAACACCTAAACGAACCAGCACTAATGCTGTGTCCTTCATACACTTGAACTCATACCTGATATTCTCGTCACACCGTTTTCATTTCTGAGGATCCGGCGTCTCTTCTCCGGTGGTTTATAAGCGTCGCCCAGCCACAAAGTAGGATGCGGGTTTTCTTCAGTGGGCCGTTTGTCAACAAAGTGAAACGAGCACACGTACAGGGTTTTGGGTGGTTTCTTCAAATTCAGATTTTTCACCCACATTATTCTTGATTCCTCCTCGGTAGGTAGGCGATAGAAACGATACCGCTTTTCACAGGAACACTCTTTTTTTGTTTTGGGTGCGTGTTCAAAACACTGTTGTTGTAGCCACCGATTTAGCTTGTTCTGGTTGTTCGTGCAGCCGCGGACAGCACAACAGGTACCTGTACTCCGGTTGGACATTTCCGTAACTTTTACGATTGTTAAATAAATATACACAAAACTAAAGCAGCGTTTTGTCTACTAAACTGAAAGCAAATTACTTTCAAATAAACACTGCGGTAACCGTGCTTCACTCTATCGCGGACAGCCAACGCTGTATACTTCCGGTATACCAGTGGCTGACAGGAAGTTGTAATCATTTATAGATCTGATTTGATGCATATGCACATAGACATAAACACGTTTACGTTTATGTCTATGGGAAGTGCGTTTGCGTTTATGTCTATGGAAATGATCCCAAAAATAAGGTGGATAATGCCATACTGCCAGCCGGGGGCGCCATTTCTCTACGTTTTCAGTTCATCCTCTGTCGCCCCTTGTGACGACACATTTATGCGCCGGATATGTTTCCTTCCCTGTATCTCCCGAATGCTGATGTGTTTAAAAAAAATGACACCGCACTTGGATATCAGGCTCTGAGTACTTCTACAATAAAATAATAAGACAGAAAATTGGCGGTGGGTCCGAGGACAGAGCAGACGGAGAGGAGAAGATAATCATCAGCGGAACACGGAGCGAATGGCGGTGAGAATCTGGAGGAGAGTGCAGGAGAAACATTTATTTCACCAACTACATTATAATTCACAGTACCAACTTGTCATTTTTTTCAGTTTTTAATCACCTGTACACAGCTTTAAACAAAGTGCCAACAATGGGTTTTATGTTTATTGTTACCTAAATAAAAATTCAGATTAAATATAATGTAGCTAAATAATGCTGGTATGATATAATTAACACTGATGATGCAAACGTTTTCATTCCCCTTTTATTTCTCTGTTTTGCCTCTAATTATCCAAACTGTCCAATCTTTTAAATATATCCAGGAGTACTTTACCAAGTCTAAATGTATTTCTAAGGTTTTTTTTTTTGTTTTTTTTTACCATTTGTGTGTATTTTAAGTTCAGTCCTTGTATCTGACATATTTAATTGAAATTATTTGTAATTCTCTTTACATCACTCATACAAAATACACAGATCATGGGAAGAACCAGTGTTGTTTCTTCACATAGCAGAAGAGTTAACCATTTTTTTTTTCACACTGACACATCTACAAACATTACCAGAGATAACACAGTTTGTACAGAAAGGGTATTTCTAATGTTTGTTTGTTTGTTGGGCAAAAACTTGAGATATTTTTAGCTGTACTGAGCCTTTAAATTATTTGATTAGTTTACTGGATGACAAAGTTAGCAGCCCTGAGAAATGTTTACAAAGTATGAACAGTAAGTCATATTTTTATTAAGATGTTACTAAAACTGTTCCATACGGTAGTTTTTGTAAATGCGTCTTAAAAAGACAAAGAGAACAAATTATGTTTCTTAGACTGCTATTAACAAACAGCTCTAATTGTTAAAATTAGTTATGGTCTTATTTGTAAAAACAACAGACAGATGTAGATGTCTCTTGTCATTGAATAATTTGTAGGTCGTCATTAAAGGGCTTACTACGAGTACGTTCAGACCTTTTAGTGAAATTTTACATACTTCTTCTAAATTTACATAGCAAATAATCAAAAATCAGCTTTAATCAAATATGCCAAATAGCCATAACAAAACCTTACATTCCTCCATAAGACCTCAAAACACTCATTCTTGGGGGCCAAGATGGTGTAGAGGCAGGGCAGCCGACTTGGGACCCGAAGGTCCTGGACTCAATCCCCGGTCACTGAACATCTCGTAGTGCCCCCCAAGAAGGACACCCCGGCTGCCCCCCGGGCAGCATCACCCCGCCCGGCGGTGGACGGGCCAAACACAGAGAGCAAACCTTGCCATTGTATGGGAACATACAATGATGACAATACAGTGCCTTGCAAAAGTATTCGGCCCCCTTGAACTTTTCAAACTTTTGCCACATTTCAGGCTTCAAACATAAAGATATAAAATTTAATTTTTTATGAAGAATCAACAACAAGTGGGACACAATCGTGAAGTGGAATGAAATGTATTGGATGTGTCAAACTTTTTTAACAAATAAAAAAACTGAAAAGGGGGGCATGCAATAATATTGGGCCCCTTTACTTTCAGTGCAGCAAACTCACTCCAGAAGTTCAGTGAGGATCTATGAATGATCCAATGTTGTCCCAAATGACTGATGATGATAAATAGAATCCACCTGTGTGTAATCAAGTCTCTGTATAAATGCACCTGCTCTGTGATAGTCTCAGGGTTCTGTTCAAAGTGCAGAGAGCATCATGAAGACCGAGGAACACACCAGGCAGGTCCGAGATACTATTGTGGAGAAGTTTAAAGCTGGATTTGGATACAAAAAGATTTCCCAAGCTTTAAACATCCCAAGAAGCATTGTGCAAGCAATCATATTGAAATGGAAGGAGTATCAGACCACTGCAAATCTACCAAGACCCGGCCGTCCCTCTAAACTTTCATCTGGAACAAGGAGAAGACTGATCAGAGATGCAGCCAAGAGGCCCATGATCACTCTGGATGAACTGCAGAGATCTACAGCTGAGGTGGGAGAGTCTGTCCATAGGACAACAATCAGTCGTACACTGTACAAATCTGGTCTTTATGGAAGAGTGGCAAGAAGAAAGCCATTTCTCAAAGATATCCATAAAAAGTGTTGTTTAAAGTTTCACACAAGCACCTGGGAGACACCAAACATGTGGAAGAAGGTGCTCTGGTCACATGAAACCAAAATCGAACTGTTTGGCCACAATGCAAAACGATATGTTTGGTATAAAAGCAACACAGCTCATCACCCTGAACACACCATCCCCACTGTCAAACATGGTGGGGGCAGCATCATGGTTTGGGCCTGCTTTTGTCAGCAGGGACAGGGAAGATGGTCAGAATTGATGGGAAGATGGATGGGGCCACATACAGGACCATTCTGGAAGAAAACCTGTTTGAGTCTGCAAGAGACCTGAGACTGGGACGGAGATTTATCTTCCAACAAGACAATGATCAAAACATAAAGCCAAATCTACAATGGAATGGTTCACAAATAAACATATCCAGGTGTTGGAATGACCAAGTCAAAGTCCAGACCTGAATCCAATCGAGAATCTGTGGAAAGAGCTGAAGACTGCTGTTCACAAACGCTCTCCATCCAACCTCCCTGAGCTCGAGCTGTTCTGCAAAGAAGAATGTGCAAGAACTTCAGTGTCTCCATGTTCAAAACTGATAGAGACATACCCCAAGAGACTTGCAGCTGGAGCTGCAGCAAAAGGCGGCGCTACAAAGTATTAACGCAAGGGGGCCGAATAATATTGCACGCCCCACTTTTCAGTTTTTTTATTTGTTAAAGTTTGACACATCCAATAAATTTCATTCCACTTCACGATTGTGTCCCACTTGTTGTTGATTCTTCACAAAAGATTAAAATTTTATATCTTTATGTTTGAAGCCTGAAATGTGGCAAAAGATTGAAAAGTTCAAGGGGGCCGAATACTTTCACAAGGCACTGTACATCCACATTATTATTATTATTATTATTTCATGCCTTCAGTATGTCTAGGCTGAATTAATACAGGGAAGCAATGGAGTCTATATGTAAATAATCAGTAAATCAATTACAGCCAGAGTTGGGGCATGTTTGCATTCAGTGTAATTATGATCCAAGGATAAAACTGTTGCCAAGTTTGCTCGACTGTGTGTTGTTCTGGATTTGCTCACTGCCCTTGCACCCCCACCCCCCCCCCATGCAATGTCGGCATCATTATGTGCTAGTGTCCAAGATTTCATTTCATTATCACACTGTTGACCTTCACACAGAGGTTAAAAGTGTGTTAGGATTTTTTTGTCTCCAAACCCTATGTGTTATTTTTCACCACTTTTTATTGTCTGACTAAACAGATCTCACTTGTAAATTAGTCCTCGAGGCTCAGTGTGACTTATCTGTTTAAATAAAGGTTTAATAAAAAAAAAACACCACCAGGTGAACCGTCCTTGAACTCACTCCAGTGAGGCAGCGACGTGTCCTCTAGGTCTAGGGTGAGGAGATGGTCGGTGGTTTTCTGTGCAGCCTCTTCCTGTGTGCTGCGGAGCACCTCATGTACCACTCAGATATTCATCCATTTATTAACTTCATGAAATAGTTATTGCATACAACAAAAAGGGGTCATCTACTTTATAATGTACATCTACAAACTTTTTAACAGACTAGAAATTATTCAAATATTAATACAAGTTATAGCTGTAACATTTCATATTATTGAAATATGAATTGTGGTGTGTTCACTGCTGCTAGTTTTGTCTTAAAAGTTATTGCAGTTGCAAAAAACTGTAAAATCCCTAATGCAGTATTGGTAAACATATTGGAAAACTCCTCAGCACATCTGATGGAGCAAAATAAACTCAGAACAATTTTCTGTCCCTGTTGATATTTAAGAAGTGCTTCCTTGAATCCAATAGAGTGCACATTTATAATTGTTGTTGTTTTCCCCAATAATGGCTCATAAAAGACTTGATGACTTGGTTTTAGCTGGTCTGTTGCTCACTCTCCTGTTTGTGTTTTGGTTGAAAGCCCAAAGGTAAAGTCGGCACGAAGGGAAAGAAGCAGATCTACGAGGAGAACGAGGCGACGCTCAAGTTCTACACAAGAGTTATCCTTGGAGCAAATGTAAGAAAGAAAGAAAACCGTTTTTTTATTTGATGGAATTTAAAATAAAAATAAAAAAAGGAAACAAATGGATCAATACATGATTAGCAATTCACATTCACTCTTCAATCTATAATAAAGGATAACATTTAAGGTGTTTGTGTTTGTGTATGAAAAAAAAATATATATATATATACATACACACACACAAAAAATATATATTTATATATATACATACACACACACACACGGACCCTTTCCAAAAAATTAGAATTTCATGGAAAAGTTGTTTAACTTCCATATTTCCATTCAAAAAGTTAATATTTAATAGATGATAGATTCAGGGCCCACAATTTAAACGCTTTCAAGTATTTATTTTTACATAATTAGTAAAAGAATGTCACTTTTCTTGATTTGGGAACAGGTGCCTGCACTTTTGTTTTTTTTGCAAACAGTAATTTGCATCAGTGAAACTGAGAGAAGATGCCCTCTTCAGGTCACTCTTGAGCTTTTGTGGCTGGACCACACCATAACCCTGACCTTCATGTGATGAACTCCTTCCTCACTTTGCTGAAACTTCCTCTTTATTATTAGCCTGCATACTTTGAATCAGAACTGACTGGTGTTTTATAGTACCGGTAATTTGTGATTCCTTCCACTTTAACTAAAGCTTTTTTTCCTGATAAGGGAAAAGTAATCTTAAAGCAGCAGGCCAACATTTTAGTTTTGACACAGAGTACAATACCTTTTAAATATTTTGATAAGCTGTGATAAGAGGGATTTATATTAGAAATCTTCGTGCACACGAGCACTGGTTGTAAACTGGTGGGAATCTTAAATTACACCAACTTAATCTTTCTCACTGATTTGGATAAAATGTTTCACCACTGTCAGATTTTAAACTAATCCATGTTTGTCTAACAACATTAAGTCAGGTCCTCTGGATGGATAAAAAAATTTAAATAAATAAAATATATAAATATCATTTTTTTTTTTTTTGTTTTTAATCCGTCTGTCCAGAGGACCTGATTTAACATTGTTAGATTTTTCTACCTGGATTATTGATCATGCATCAGGATAATTCATGTTTGATCAAAATAAAAGTTACACAGCTGGAAATAACTGCTGAGTCGCTAAAATCAAGAAATAAATGCTGCTACATTATGAAAATTTCTTGTCTTTATTGTTTTTGAGGCCAAGATCAACCCTAAAATTACCCATCCATCCATCCATCCATCCATTATCTTTTACCCGTTTATTCCATTTTGGGTCACGGGGGTCGCTGGTGCCCATGTCCAGCAATCACTGTGCGAGGGGCGGGGTACACCCCGGACGGGTCGCAAGTCCATCACAGGGACACATAGAGACAAACGAGACAAACAACCATTCACTCTCTCACTCACACCTAGGGACAATTTAGAGTTACCAATCAGTCTAACATGCATGTTTTTGGTCTGTGGGAGGAAACCGGAGCACCCGGAGAAAACCCACGCATGCACGGAGAGAACATGCAAACTCCACCCAGAAGGGCCCCTGGACCGGGGTTTGAACCAAGGACCTGCTCGCTGAGAGGCAGCAGCTCTACCAGTTGCGCCACCGTGCTGCCCCTAAAATTACCCATTTTTTTGTTTTTAATAAAGTTTACATTTTTGCTTCAAACTGAAAACACAGATTATTGATTTATGTTTTATTTGTGTTTAGATAAATATCAGCTCGATAAACTGACCTGTTTCTTGCAGGCGATCTACGCTGCTGTGAATTTCTTGGTTTTCTACAGTTCCTCTACATTTTGGACATGGGTGAGTTTATTGATCATGGTCACCTTGAAGAAACATTTAGTTTTTCTTGCTCCGTACCTGTTCTGTGTGTTTGTAGCTGCAGCTGGTGTTTGCCGTCGCCGTGTACGTTGGGAGTTACCGCTCCATGTCAGCCATGGCCAAGCCAGCGTTTGCTGAGGACGGAAGCCTCCTGGATGGAGGAATAGATCTAAACATGGAGCAGGGAATGGCAGAGTAAGTAACACCCAAAATATGACAAAAGTGTGTCGGGGGAACAGGCCCTGCCTTTATCCAGCAAATCATAAACAAGCACATGATGACGTGAAGCAACTTGTAAAGCTCCGAACCAGAAATTATCTTACGCTGAGGTTACAGGGATTAAATAAATCTATTAATTAATGTTTATCAACTTAATGGATGGCAGAGAAACAGATGAGTCCATTTCTGAGATATTTACTGAAGTTATGCTTTTACTTGAAAATAAGTCAGGTTTTGAATACTTTAAATACCTTGAAGGAATGTTTATTGCCCACATATGCCAGTTTTAGATCATCTCATGTTTAGAAGGTTAATAACTGAGTTATAGGTGTTTTGGTCAGACTTTGAATATAACAACCTGTGATTAATAAAGTGTGATCTAGTTGAAGCAGCCATCTTGAATTTGATTTACTCCAAAGGTGAATCAGTTGTCGATCTTCATTCAGTTGATATTTGTTGAACGTTTCATAAATATCCACCCAGTGGTTCATGAGATATTTTGCTAACAGACAAGAGTTGACTTCAGCACTTAAGGGGAGTGTTTTAAAATAAGATTGTACATGCTCAGAGTGTGTGTTGGTGAATAATTTCAGCTACTACCGCACCATATTTTAGCTCTGTATACGTGTAAAATTAATTGAATTTTAGCCTTTTTTTTAGGAATTTTTTTAAAAATAAATTATTTAAAAGTATTTAGCACCTGCTGCACCTTTCTGCAGCCCACACTTCTGCAAGATAAACTTCCTGCTGCAGCTGATCAGCTGTTCACCGTGCATGCGGAGAAGTGGGCGTGGCCAATAACTCTTGCAGGTGGAAAAGAGCAGATAAGGCAGAGAGCTGAAATGACATTCTGTGCTCTTTAAGAGCATTTACAGTTTAGAAACATTGTTTAGAATATTGCAAGAGTGGGAAGAGTTTAAAACTCCTTTATATACAGTGGAGCAAAAAGTATTTAGTCAGCCACTGATTGTGCAAGTTCTCCTACTTCGAAAGATGAGAGGGGTCTGTAGTTTTCATCATAGGTCCACTTCAACTATGAGACAGAATGAGGAAAAATAATGCAGGAAATGACACTGTAGGATTTTTAAAGAATTTATTTGTAAATTATGGTTGAAAATAAGTACTTTGTAACATGACCTTTGTTGGTAATGACAGAGGTCAAACGTTTCCTGTAATTCTCCACCAGGTTTGCACTCACTGTATCTGATGTTTTGGCCCATTCCTTCATGCAGATCTCCTCTAGAGCAGTGATGCTTTGGGGCTGTCGCTGGGCAACATGGACTTTCAAATCCCTCAACAAATTGTCTGTGGGGTTGAGGTCTGGAGACTCAGACTGGCTTGGCCACTCCAGGACCTTGAAATGCTTTTTACAGAACCACTCCTTCGTTGCCCGAGCGGTGTGTTTGGGATCATTGTCATGCTGGAAGACCCAGCCCTGTTCCATCTCCAGTGATTTCACTGATGGAAGGAGGTTTGACTTAAAATCTCACTGTACATGACCCCGTTCATTCTTTCTTTAACACGGGCCAGTCGTCCTATCCCCTTCGCACAAAAACAGCCCCAAAGCATGATGTTTCCACCCCCATGCTTCACAGTAGGTATGGTGTTCTTGGGATGCATCTCATCATTCTTCTTCCTTCAAACACGACGAGTTGAGTTTTTACTAAAAAGTTCTCTTTTGGTTTCATCCGACCACATGATGTTCTCCCAGTCCTCTTCTGGATCACCCGTATGTTCTCTGGCAAACTTCACACGGGCCTGGACATGTACTGGTTTAAGCAGGGGGACACGCCTGGCACTGCAGGATGCGAGTCCCCCTCAGCGTAGTGTGGTACTGATGGTACCTTTGTTACTTTGGTCCCAGCTCTCTGCAGGTCATTCATCACGTTCCTCCGTGTAGTGCTGGGATTTTTTTGCACACGGTTCTCATGATCGTTTTGACCCCACACGATAAGATCTTGTGTGTGGCCCCAGATCGAGGGTGATTATCAACGGTCTTGTATGTCTTCCATTTTCTTAAAAACAAAGTAAATTAATAAAAATGATCTAAGGAAGTCAGCAGATTTTGTTGAATCTCTTGTCAGTGAGGTTTTGTAGGGCCGTGCCAGCATTTTGCTGCACATCCTGACAATCCCTGTTTATTCCTGTTCTTACACGTTAAAAATCCAAACCAACAGATGAAGGTAAACATTAAGAGACTCACTAAGACATGAATAAAACATTCTCGTAAAAGGAGATTTTATAAAAGCGACGGGGCTTCTGATAAAAATACATCTTCTGATGAGCCTTCTTACAAAAAGAGTGCGTCAAAGATCACGTTGTCATCAAGAACATTCCCAAAGTTTTTCTGTTGGTCTCCACAGCTTCAACACTAATAACCACAGGAGCGGAAACTGAAGAGTCTTTTCTAAAATCAGGGACCATCTCCTGACTTCAAAAGTTTTTTAGTTTTAGGTGTACGTCCTTTGATTGTTTTCTGAAAGATTCATTAAAATACATCTAACTATTCATAAGATATTTTGCTAACATGGCAGGCAAAAACATTGTCACCCACCTTTTGCCTTCTGACAATGAGCGATACATATATTATCAATTTTAACTTTTTTAAAATTATTTTTACAGTATATAAACTTTGTTTTCACACGTTCTGAATATTTCCACGTATTTATTTTTCATTCTGTTAATAAGAGGGAGTGGTGGCGCAGAGGTTAGAGAGGTGGGCCTGTGATCCGAAGATCGCCGGTTCACGCCCCAACCACATCAAAATTGTGGGAGGGGTAGGTGAAACACCCACACTTGCCCCCACCCTCATTCGCCACACTCTGGGCCCATGAGCAAGGCCCTTAACCCCCACCATGTGCTCCCTAAAAAAACAGGTCTCTCTTGAAAATGAGTTCTCGTGGCTCAATGAGACTACCTGGATAAATAAAGGGTAAATGTGTAGTGAACCTGATCTGACCCTGATCTGACCCAGATGACCTCAAAT